GAGTGGCATCCCCACAACGAGGGGGGTCCCTGCAAAATCCTTACATTTCCTATTTCTGCAGGGACGCACGTCCGTGGACCACTACGTATTGCATCCACAACGTCCCACAATACAGAAGTTCTCTATGCACATAGCCCTAATTCTTCGACGGCTCCCAGCTGTCCAAGACTTCGTGCTGGTATTTGCCAAGCACCTCTTCCAGGAGGGCTTCTCCCGAACCCTCTTCTGTGGTGTTGGGTTTAGTTTAAGGGTTAGTATTTGGGATTTAGACCCTTAGGGTGTAGGCTTTAGATTTATGTAGGGTACAAGCTTTAGGGTTAAACCCGGATGCTTGTCATCCGGCAAAGATTCTTTCCCACTCCCTCGTGGCTTAAGGTGAGTGAAATCTGCATAGAAGCTTGCGTCCCTAATAATATCCTTAATGATATCTAAATCTATTAAAAATATTTTCCCTAAGAGTCTACCCAAACATAACGACCTCGCAACAAAATTTCATTCCCCCCAATATCCATCGTTAGAAAAGAACGCAACGATTTCAATATCTAGGAATAAAATCGATCGATATATATCCCCATAAAAGGCTACGGGCTCGACCCCTATTTTCGCTCTGCGGCCGCCCTATCGGATGCCCCGCCTCCTCTTCCGGTCCATTTGGCTGCTTGTGAGGGCCTTGCAGGGGGATCCTGAAAATTCCGGGAATTTTAACGCTTATTGTCTAAAAATCCCGGGAATTTTGGGAATTCCCCGGAGTTGAAAATTGCCGGAATTTTAGGAATTGTCCGGATTGAGGTTTGGGCTTTCCTTGGGCTGTCACGGCGTTGTCCGCTTGGTCCGCTTGGGTGAATTTGGGTTGTCACGGTGTTGTCCGCTTGGTCGGTTTTGGGTTGTCATGGCGTTGTCCACTTAGTCCGCTTGGGCGGTTTTGGGCTGTCACGGTGTTGTCCACTTGGTCGGTTTTGGGCTGTCACGGTGTTGTCCGCTTGGGTGGTTTTGGGTTGTCATGGTGCTGTCCGCTTGGTCGGTTTTGGGCTGTCATGGTGTTGTCCGTTTGGTCCGCTTGGGCGGTTTTGGGCTGTCAGGGTGTTGTCCGCTTGGTCGGTTTTCGGTTGTCACGGTGTTGTCCGTTTGGGTGGTTTTGGGCTGTCACGGTGTTGTCCGCTTGGTCGGTTTTGGGCTGTCACGGTGTTGTCCGCTTGGGTGGCTTTGGGTTGTCGTGGTGTTGTCCGCTTGGGAGGTTTTGGGTTGTCACGGTGCTGTCCGCTTGGTCGGTTTTGGGCCGTCATGGTGTTGTCCGTTTGTTTTGGGTTGTCACGGTGTTGTCTGTTTGATCGGATGTTCGTTGTCACGGTGTTGTCCGCTTGGGCGGTTTTGGGTTGTCACGGTGTTGTCTGCTTGGTCGTTTTTGGGTTGTTATGGTGTTGTCCGTTTGGTCTGCTTTGGTGGTTTTGGGTTGGCATGGTGTTGTCTGTTTGGTCGGTTTTGGGTTGTTGTAGTCTTGTCCGTTTGGTCCGCTTGGGTGGTATTGGGTTGTCATGGTGTTGTCCGCTTGGTCGGTTTTGGGCTGTCACGGTGTTGTCTGCTTGGGTGGTTTTGGGCTGTCACGGTGCTGTCCGCTTGGTCGGTTTTGGGTTGTCACGGTGTTGTCCGCTTGGTCCGCTTAGGTGGTTTCGGGTTGTCACGGTATTGTCTGCTTGGTCGGTTTTTGGACTATCACAATTTGTTCGCCTGATCCGCTTGGGTGGTTTTGGGCTGTCACGGTGTTGTCCGCTTGGTTGGTTTTGGGCTGCCATAGTGTTGTCCGCTTGGTCCGCTTGGAAGGTTTTGGGTTGTCACGGTATTGTCCGCTTGATCGGTTTTGGGTTATCATAGTGTTGTCCGCTTGGTCCGCTTGGGTGGTTTTGGGTTGTCATGGTGTTATCTGTTTGGTCGGTTTTGGGCTGTCATAGTGTTGTCCGCTTGGTCCGTTTGGGTGGTTTTGGGTTGTCATGGTGTTGTCTGTTTGGTCGGTTTTGGGCTGTCATAGTGTTGTCCACTTGGTCCGCTTGGGTTGTCACGGTGGTGTCGGCTTGGGCGATTTTGGGTTGTCATGGTGTTATCCGCTTAATCTATATGGACGATTTTGGGTTGCCATGGTATTGTTTGTTTGGTCGGTTTTGGGCCGTCATAGTGTTGTCTGTTTGTTTTGGGTTGTCATGGTGTTGTCTGTTTGGTCGGATGTTCGTTGTCATGGTGTTGTCTGTTTGGGCGGTTTTGGGTTGTCACGGTGTTGTCTGCTTGGTCGGTTTTGGGTTGTTATGGTGTTGTTCGTTTGGTCCGCTTTGGTGGTTTTGGGTTGTCATGATATTGTCTGTTTGGTCAATTTTAGATTCATTTAGTTTTTCTTCTCGACTAAAATATGGTATTATTGTAGTACCAGTCCGTCCTTTCACGTTTTTCAGGTGTGTTTGAGTTTCTCTAATGTTATAAATCCCGTTCTTAGATGTATATCTCGGGTTGGTATGGTTGCCATAACGTCTTGATTTCTAGATAATTTTACGAATCCTCCCCTATCGTTGGCAAAATCCATCAAAATCTTGCCACCAATTATCTGGGAATCATTCTGATAGATTTTAGGATGTGAGGTTCAATTCTTTTCTATTTATTCTGATCTTTGATCCGTATTTTCCGTCCGCGTTTCTCGATATTCCCTAGCTTCTTTTAGAGATTGGCAGACGTATATATCGTCGATGGAATCGACAAGTCCCCTCTAGTCCATATTAATTTCAATTTTTTTGATAATAATGAATTTAATTATAAGAGAAATAGAAGCTTCGAAAGAAATACATTTTAGATGATTCATTTATCATTCATTCATCATAAATATCATAATATAAAATATAATAAATAAAGATATAAAGTATATAAATATAAATATATATATAAAATCTACGAGAAATTGAATTATTTTTCTTGCTAAGTTATATGTAGATCGGTTTAATGAATAAAAGAATTCTATGAATTTGAATTTGGGGATAATACTTAATAGGGTTCAAAAGTTCGATGAAAATATATTTCGAAAATAAAAACATCGAAATTAATTGAAAAATCCATGAATTCCGATATCAAACTAATTCCCTTTATGTAAATGAAGCTAATACATATTTTCTCAAAAGATTCGTCCTTATCCTGGCAACATACCCGAAATTCCCGCCCCTCTCCTCTTTAAGGCCTTCCATTCGCTTAAGATTGGTAAAGGCCTGGGCCCTGATGGATTGTGTCTTGATTTCATACGACTCTTCTTTGGCGAGATTGGGGATGGGGATGCAATCGTGGAATTAATCAGACATTTCGTATAACTGTTAGCTTCCGTCCCTAGCTTGGGGGAGAAACTTTTGTGGGCACTGATAAACGGGATGCTCGAGGACGGATCATCGCTTCCCCAATCATCGCTGCGAATATACGCTCAGGGCAGGTAATGGTTCATGACGAACTATATCAATTGCAGGTCTCATATCTTGAATTCTCCAGGTAATCCATGCCCTTGTGCATTCTTACCGTTGTGTGGAATCTGTGATCATAATGGGACGAAGTTTTGTCAGCAGCCACTACCAGTGTCTGGTCCATGCGCACGTCAATGCATGCATCAAGATTCCACCAGCCTTGTGACAGAGGAATTACGCTTCGCAACTCTGAAAAAAAGCTAAGCCTGCGACAACACCTGCGTTGAGAGACTCAACCAGCTCTGACATGGGCAATGCCACCTGTGCAAGGCAGTCAATCAGCGACCTGCTGAACCGATCACCTCCTTTCACATTGCAACCTACCGACTTGCCGACTTGCCTGCGCACAGCTGTGCAGAAGTTCTGCGCGTATGCCATCAGCCTCGTTGCCTGCATGTGACTCGTGTTCTTGTGCGGCTGTAGCACCCCCGAGTGCAGATGACTGACAGACATCTGATTGCATCCAATCATGCTGGAGCGAAACCAAGCTTTCATGGCGGCTACAGCGCAAAAGTATTGATTGTAGCATGCGTTGAATTGGTCATTGGTCGGTGCAGGAGCTATGCTGCGTTAGTACCTGTGATGCGAGGTACATTTCGCTTGAATGGTGACCGAATGCCGTGCTTTGACTCTTTGGGATGGGTTTGGCTTGAGTTGTAGTTGCGGGTTGATGAGCCTAGGGTCCTACCGAGGATGCCCGTATCCCAGGTGCCTCTTAGTGTTCGACAGAGGCCCCTAAACCCTCATAACCTAGAAGAGGACACCAGCCCACCGCCCTCCGCAAGAGGCCGCAAAAAGATGGCAAATTGGCACTCGGAACGGAAATCGCAAAAGAGATGCCCGCAGTGGCAATGGTGCCGAGAGCTCGGATGCAGATTTTGGATTTTCAATATCTTTCGACCGCTACGGTCTTCCAAAGCAGCAACCATGACCACCCTTGAGCACCCTTTCAAACCACCAACTGGCTGTTGCCGGGGCTTCGCTCAGGACCACAAGTGAACCCGACGTGATCTAGGCCGAATCCGATGGACATGCCACGTGCCAGTCACAATCTTCGGCCATGCGGATGTCTCCAGGCTCCGTAAAGAATGGCTAAACAACGCAGTGCGAGGGACGCTTCTTGATGCCCTATCATGTCTGACTGCAGCATACTGGCAGAGGGGACTACAAGCTTCATACCGGTTAGGAAAGCTGTACACCGCACAAGCTGTAGCATGTGCCACGACATGCCATGACATGCTATGACATTACCACTCAAACGTGCCTACAACCAAGCAAAAGCCGCGTCGGTCAGACGAGAGCTGCGACCTGACATCTTACAGCATCTCAGTGCACATGGTAAGAGACCTGCATATCTTCTTGGCCACATGCACTTCTGACACAGGTTTTCCGCCGGCATGAGCAGCACATAGCAGCAGCTGATGCCTCATCACAACTTTTCATGAAATCTCAGCACCACAGACTAGAAATGTGGCACAGGTCTCATGACCTAGGCCAAACTGCTTCCAGGCTAATTCGTGCAAATTTCGCAGGGCCAGGTCACCAGTGACCACCCTTCAAATTTCCCCCTTTACATCGCGAATACACTTGGGAATGCCTTGTGCCCATCTGCCTCATGCGCCGGCCGTGGGGGAGAAGATCTGACCCAAGGGAGCCTCGCGCCTTGAGCTCTAAGGACCCCCTAAGGCCCTAAGGTCTGTTTGCAGGCCATGGCACTCTCGCCCAGCTTAACTTCACACGACAAAGCAAATAGCTCCGCCGAGGCCCCAGGCCTTAGGCGCTGCGTGAGAAGAAAAACTCACCTCCTTTGTTCCCAGGCGGCCTGGTAGAGGACACCCCCTATGGACCTTCGTGAAGCCATGACCTTAAATGTTTCTGCGCCTTCGCATGAACAGAAGCTGCGGCACTGGGCCCTCTTCGCCTGCCAGCCCCTGAAACATTCAGAACATCCGGCTGACGTGCAACCTATTTTTGAAGGGGTTTCGTCCTGGGCGCGTGCGAGCTATATTTGTCACAGGATTCAATTTGGTCTGGGGCAGCCTGGGGGGGTCTGGGCCCTGGAGGCCCTGGACCTCGGGACCCCCTACCAACCTCAAACTGTGCCACCGAGGTCTAGGGGCTTAGGCGCCACCCCCCGCAATAAGGGCCGGCCTAAACCTTCAGTTTAGGATTTAGGGTTGAACACCTCTTCGAAACACACACCCTGGACCATCCTTTTCAACAATACCCGCCATTGTACCCGAAATCCGAAATCTTTAAACCTCTTGGACAAAGACACCTCCCGCAAAACAGGCCTTTATTCAACGGAAATCATGGGTGCGTTGGCATGCACATTCATGCTGGCCCTGTCTCATAGCATGGGTGCACTTCTCGGTCACAAAAAACATCTGATCAGCGACATTTTAACTTCATTTCAGGCCTGTCACACAGCTCCACCAGCTGCTGGGTCGTGGCGTAGCTTCTGTAAGGCCTCTGACTCAATGCCCATGACAAAGATGCGGTGTTCTCAACATGGTAGGCACACGTATGCAAAGAGCCAAGACTTCGACAGAGTCCATGCTACTGCCTGCAACATCTGTCGCTTCATGCCGTGTGCCGTGTAGCCGCTCGGTGTGCAACAAGTGCAACATGCCAACTCGACCTGGGAAGCTTCGAGGACCTTGTAGCAGAACGGATCCACACCTTATGAAAGAGTGTCACTTGAACCAACACTTCCTGCGAGTCCAGTGCATCCGGGTAGCATTCAGAACTGAAAACCACCCCGTCGAACTTCAAAGCAACAGCGCTGGTCAGCAAAAGACCTGTCACGCAAATACACGAGGATACATGCGACCTCCTGCTGGACACTGGACAGCGCCGAATTCATGGTCTACAACAGTGTCAATGGGGGACCCATGTTCTCCGGATGCTTGATCTTGTCAACTGCAAGCAAGCACTTCGGCGCAGGCTCGAACCTGGACTGGGCAGCCCAGCGCCGGTGGTTTGAACTGTTTGAACTCTTCCCTTAAAGGCCTTAGGATGCTCGAGCATGCCTTAGGATGCCTTAGGATGCCTTAGGATGCCTGGGGCACGGCTGGTCTGTGGCTTGAGGCTGCTTGATTTGTCCTGCACTCACACGGCAGCGTTTAAAGCCACACGACGACACCACATGGTGATAAGTGAGATTCCTACATTTTCTCTGCTGCATATCTGTGGTCCTATAACCAAATCATCGTCATCCAAGCTCTGCGAAAGCGCCTCACATGGAAGAAAACAAGCATCATGATCAAGTTTGATTCAGCACGCCAGCCTACCTGCCTTTGGACCGAAAAGCACGTGCTGCCTGCTTCTGATGAATTTAGAACTGTGAGGCATGTCTCCAGCAACCACCGCTTCAAACTTCTGACCATATTTACGTAGGCGCTGAGTTCCTTGCAGGACGGCCTTTGGGGTTCGAACAACTTTATCCTGATGCACGTGCACTCAAGCTCATCCACGACTTGGGAGCAGTAAGCAAATGTTGCAGTCCCGGTCTGAGACTGAGGCTGCGTTGTACAAGCTGGCTGCTTCTCGCGCCTCAGGAGTAAAGACCTTCGAGCGGCGGTGTGACACTTCTGCTGTTCAGAATGCCACGCAATATCACGTGGGGATTTCACAGCGGATGAAACGGCGCCTTGTCAAACTTGAAGTGCTCTCCAATAGACTTCACAACCTGACGCCCGCGCACCTTTCATTTGAACTGCCGATTTCGGGAAGTCGCGCAAACCGTAAAATCGACATGTTTCGAGAACTTAGGTCTGCTGCTACGCATTGCCCTTTGGGCATGCGGGCGCGTCTGCGCCCAACGCGGAGTCTGAAGAGCTCCTTCCAATCACGCCAGAAGTATCCACAATCACAAGCGGGAACATGCATTGAATAGTCATTGAATGCATTGTTCATGCCAAGCCCCGCCTTGATTGCCGGGTTCCGGATAGACAGGATATCGTAGACTCCCGACATCAGGAAGCCAGTTCAATGGTTAGTTAAGTGAGTACATTGAGTACGTGCTCATGGCAGTATGGCAGCCGTTGGAATTCTGCGAAGTGCCAGTAGTGTTTATGAGTCTTTCAGCATCACAGGTTACGCCAGGATGCCAGTTGATCAGTGGCTGAATAGCTGAAGCTGAAGTTGGAAGATGCAGGCAACAGCTGGCAGGGCTTGATAAGCCACATGCACATGATGACAACCTGTGACAAATGTGACAAGAAAGAACTGCTTTCATAACCTCAAGGTGTGAGGTCGGCTGTGAGGCGTAAGCTGCCGGTCATAGACCATAGCTACCAGTGTAGGCAGTTGACTCCGACAACTTGCCCACAACGCAGAAACTGAATTTGGGCCCTGGCTTGGCTTATACATCTAAGAACTCATCTAGTTTTGTGTCAGCGGGTCGGCATGGTTGTGCTTGCTAGATTGCATTGTACGGCCATGATACTGAAATTCCATGTTGTGCAAATTTGCGGCACAACTGGGCTGCATGGCAACTGCCAGTTGCTGTATCTTTCTCTGGCTGCTCAGCCTTCTCAGATGAGGCTGGAGCACCACTCAGCGCATCCTCGCACCTGATGTTCCAGGACAAGACAGTCATGACGGATGGCGGCAGCCAATGCAGAATTTAGTTCGGCGCCAGTCTTCGGAATGTGGCTTTTGCAAGCTTCCAAGCTCTGTCCTCAAGCCAAGACACTCGACTCTGTCAGAAAGCTTCTCTGATGCATTTGCGCAATTGTACGATTGCGTTTTTAAAACTTCAAAACTTGTGAGAACTGTTTCTGCAACCAAGTCACAGCCATAGCTTCTGTGGCTCTACTTCTTGCGGTCACGGTCACGGCTTCGGGAACGTTCGCGTTTGCGTTCCTCAAGCAGCATGGAGATTCACACAGTTCTCCTGAAACAGCCATGGTCCCGCCAGTGCACATCTCACAGGAAGGTGCCTTCTCCTTGTCTTTCTTCTTGTCCTTATCCTTCTCTCGCTCCCGCTCCTTGTCCTTGTCCTTGTCCTTCTCCTTCTCCTTTTCCTTGTCTCTTCCTTTTCTGTCCTTCTTGTCATCATCTTCCTGCGCACACCGCAAGCTGCGCCCAGTGCTTAAGTACGGGCAGAGAGTTTTGGGGACCCTCTTGTTTCTTGTTTTGCATTTTGCGCCGTTTTTTTTTTTTTTTTGGGGGGGGGGGGGGGGACAGGGGAGAGTGGGGGTTACGGTTTGGGTTTAGGGTTAGGACACCACGGGTGCTTCCTGCCATGTCTAAGTTCTGTCGGAGACGAACTTTTCAAGAACCAATTCTTCGAGACATGCTTCTTGGGACATGACGAAATTTAAGCTTTTGCGCTTTTTAGTTGGCGAGGTTTTCAGGGGCTCTGGCCACTGGATGCACTTGTAGCGTGGACGCTTTCATCGTGGGTGCCCTGGCCAAAGGGGGCACTGAAAGCATGGACGCTCGTGTCGTGCGGGCACGAATGCTCTGGCCAATGGATGCACTGGTAGCATGTCACTGTCAACCCACCCACCCACCCACCCAACCCCCCATCCCCTTCTGCAAGCGTTTCGTCATGAATCGCTCTTGCGTTTCAACCTTAAACAAGGAGCCGCAGGAGGAGGCAAGAACCAAAATAAAGGAGCAACGAAACATGTCCTCCTTGAGTACTGTAGCTATTCACTCCTTTGAGCAATTTTTGTGCGCGGCGGCTCTGTGCATGCGCACATATGACGCAGTCGGCGCAGGCTGAAAAGTCTTTTCTGATTCACGCTCATCAACCTGTTCTTGAGACTTCGAGAAATCCAGTAGGGCAAACAGCTGAAAGTCACGCGATGTGAATCACATGTCCGGGCAAATTGGCAAAGCGCTGAGTCTCAGTGTGAGAAAAACGAGAACAGACGTTGTCGCGGTGCTCATGTTGAGTTCATCGCTTGGGTATCTCGAATACTGTAAATGGTAAAAGGAAAACCGTAGGATATGCCACTAAGGACACAACAGTAGGTGTTGCCGATTGTTTTTCATGTTTTTCATGGCACAGCTTTCATGCCAGGAATGCTAGTACGATCCTCTGAACAGGTCCTTGGCACAGGCATAGGAAAATATGAGGCACATGTGTTGCACAGTTGTGGCTGCAATGACAACTTTCATGTACAGAAGTCCAGACTACAAACGTCCAGCACTGTGTTATGCACTTCAAAAGCTATTCTAGTTCTCATCGTGCATGTAGCTGGATCGAATGGCAGCCCAATTGCTCCGTTTTGGAGTTCCGCCGCGTCCTTATCTTTTTCCTTCTCCTTCTTCTTGTCTGCTTTCTCCTCCTTCTCTTTTTCCTTCAGCTTTTCGGTCGTCTCCGCGAGCCTCCTGAGAACACGACCCACGAAGTGCATAGCAGTATGTGACTTATGTGGAAGTAAATTAGAATTGTGACTGCTTCCCAAACTGTTTCTGGTCCTCTGCTTCTTCTTCGAAGGCTTGCCTTTGCCACGCTCGCTACAACTCAGTCACTTCCCACTTCTCACACACGGCTTCAGGCTTGGCCTTGGCGGCCAGGTCCGCGTCCACCACCAAGCCGGCGAGGGAGCCAGCCCTCCACCGTGCGACCACGCTCCACGTCCACCATGACGCGCCGACCTGCACCAAGCCCTCTGCCTCTGTCCTTGACAAGGATCCTGTTCCTAACTGCTCTGTGCCTTGTTCAAGAGCAGCTTATCTCTATGGGCGCATGCTGCTGCTTCGACTGCCCCGTATCTTGTACCGAGCCACCGTCAATCTTCTTGCCATCTCCCTGCTTGTAGGCATTCTTCAGGTCACGCTCATGTTCGAACTCGATGAATGCGTATCCTTCTCATCATAAACTTTGGCAACTGGAGACATGGTTCAAGGAATGCAGCTCTGAAGTATGCACTGGAGCTGGGCCTCGTGGCTTGCCTTTTTGATCGTAGACCATGCGAACCTGCCAAAGCGGTCAGGTCGAAGTTTCGAGACTTTTCCCGAAAACCCCTCCGCATGGGCTTGGGTTCTTGTTTATCAAAACGACAGATCCGTGGGGCAGGGGGATGACGCGCATGCGAAAGAGATCGGGCAGATGGCTGGTCGACGGGCAGGGCAGGTGGTGCACGGGGGAGAGGGACGCGAACCAGTCGAGGCGAGCGAAATCGGGTGCATGGCCAGTCAACGGTGGGGCATGAAGAAGGGTGACAGTGGAATACAGGCCGACGTCAGGGCCAGCGACAGCACTACATGCAGTTAAGAATCCGCAGATGCCTCAGGCCGTAGGTGTACCACCTCCTACCCCTACACCTCCTTTCCCTCTGCTTCTTCACCCTGTGTGAAGCAAGCCTGCCTACTCCCGCCCCCCCCCCACTCCTCCACGGCTGCCCTTTCCTCCCCCAACCATCTCCATTCCCTACCCCCTCAAAGCCTTCAACTGTAGCTTTCCTGGAAAAGGGGACCTTGCCTCGCCGCTGCTGTTGCTACGACCGCGGGCGTAACGGCGTAGCGTTACAATATGACTCTGGAATACTCTGGACCTGGATTGGCACCCCAGAGAAGAACATCAGAGTATTCTGGCCTCAGGCCGAAGGGTCCATCTTGGGACGCTGCTTGTTTGGACAATGTGTCAAGATGGTACCATGGTCATGGTAAGGCTTCCGGGTTGACCTTGCTTTGCTTGGTCTGCTACAACAGCCAGCCGCTTATCGCACCTTCTTGATGCTTCCAAAGACTTCGAACTCACGCTTCAGCTTCTTTTCTGTCGTGTCGTAGCCTTGGCTAGGCCCACTTGGTCATGCCAACATGTCCGACAAGTATTGGTCTGAGGACAGGACTTATACGGCCAACGAATAGAGTCTTGAAGGGATCACCGCTTGCATTGGGGTCCTCCATTGCCAGCGTTCATGTTAAGGGAGGAGGGCAAGGCAGATGATGGGAGACCTTGTGGGGATCATAGACGTCGATGACCTTCTTCTGCACGGCTTTGTGAGCCTGAACCTGCTCCAAACATACTAACATAGCTGCATATAGCTACGGTATGAAATTCCACCGTCATCTTGGCTACTTCAGCTGTTCGCCATGGAGAGGGACGCCTTCTCTCGATGTCTCCTGGCTTTGCGCTCCAAAGGAGACTCCCATGGTTCCCTTGGCGGTGGTGGATCCTGAAATCGGCAAAATCAGCTTTCTTCACTTGAGTTGCAAGACGGGCCCTCGTCGCCATGCTGACTGCATTCCATCATGAATGGTAATTACTGTAAACAGTCGGAGCTGCCTGTCTCGCAGACGTGAAAGACTTGAATGTCTGATTGCTGACAAGGCTCTGTTGAGAAGAACTCAACATACCTTTGTTGAGATGCAAGGTACAAGTAACTTTTAATTGCAGCTTAGCAACAACAGGCCGACTCAACATCAGACAACCAAGACTTGCTGCCAAGACTTGCTGGTCACAGGGCACTTCGGCAAGAGGAAACAGCACGAGACGACGACAACGACGATGACGACGCCGGCCACAACAACGCAGCAGCAGCAGCAGCAGCAGCAGCAGCAGCAGAAGCAAAATCATAACAACAACACCGACAACGACAACCACGACCACAACCACGACGATGACGACGACGACAACGACAACCACCACCACCACCACCACAACAACGACGACGACGACAACAACGACGACAAAGAAGAAACTAGCTGACGTCTGAGAACAAGGCCTGCATGCTGTGAGAGCACAATAACTTATTTGATGCCTGCTACGAGTACTTGGAACTTGGGGCATTACCAGCCTGCGCAGACACATTCACAGCATGAGGTTGCGAGGCATGGTGCTCTGCACAGCCGGAGATTTTGATCAAGGGCTTCACCACGCATGGGGGCAGATGCTGCGGCGGGGGCCTTGCAGAGTTCGTTCGTAAGAAACAAGTGCGTCCCTTTCACCGTTTTTGCCCATTTCTTTGCTATGCAAATCGCGCCTGGGAGTAAAGAGTGCCAAAATGTGCGCTGGCAGTCCCTGGGCAGACATCCCCAAAACTCGAAGCCTGCCGGGCACCAGGACTACGTTAGGATTCTGGGCAAATGCTGCGCGAAAGCTGCACGAAAGCAAGAACCAGGCCTGCGGCTCCGTCCAGTGCCAAGCTAGTGTTGTTCAATGTGCAAGGTCTACCGATGGCTCTTTGTCTATGCCTCTTTTTATATGCCGCACTAACAACACTCGCAATGCTGTGTCAAAGCATGCTTGAGATACAGTTTGCGGCACAACAAGCTCTCGGAACAAGCGCTTGACTGAAGCTGATTGACGTAAGGTGTCTTTCACGAGCTGTCTTACTCATGCACCCGTTACGTGCACACTCGCAGCGAAACCTTGTGACCACTCTTGGTGAGTTTGCGCTAGCCGCCAGCAACCACTGCAGGAAAATTGGTGCATGGCACAGTCATTAGCTTGTCCCCAGCCATGTCCAGCCTCAGTCGTCAAAGTGTGGCTGTGGCTGGATCACTGGAGGTATTCCAGTGGTCCTGCGGTGGGACGCCACTTGGATCTCAAATGGTCCCAACCTTCCGCGCTCCGGTCGGGTGGGGTGAGACGGCAGAAGCTCTTCAGAGACGACAGCTCGAGTTGTGATTGACTAGCTAGTAGATCAATTGGGATCGAAACAGAGGGGGCAACTTGATGAGACTGAGATGGCTGTAGCGCAGGCCTTTGTGTGTCACAGTAGGTTGTGACGCGAGCAAATTGCAGGCAATGCAACTCAATTAAGCTTGTTCAGGCGCTTCGTCCAGTATAGAGTGACACATCCGTAGGGGTGCCCTTTGTTGTCCTGCTTGGGCTGTTGGCCTGAAGGGGATGCGCCCTGCTCTCAGGCGCTCATGGCATCGGTGGCGTCGAAGCACCCAGGCCACAGGAGCCTCCAGTCCACAACTCTGAGTGTCTCCACAATACGTAGCGACTGTACTGGCAAAGTGCGACCGGAAGACCTCTTCACAGCATGCGTCTGACTCCGGTGTCACACGGGTGGTTGTCAAAAGTATGGTCCCTTTTTGGATCCCTATTATAATACGGCACCTAATATTTGGAGTCATAATTTTGACAACCACCCACATGATGTGCCAGGTGATGCAACAGTCAGGGAACCTGCAAGGCCGGAGGGCTCGAATGGCATCTGACCTGTAAGGCAGTCAAAAGCACCTCGGGCATATATGAGCTAGGACTCCTAGCAACCTATTGCCTTTTGTATTTCTTCGAAACTCGAGCAATCTCATTTCATGCGCAAGTCTCAATTTCACCGGGCTTGCCTGCCGGCATCGGCGGCATCTCGACCATGTCAATGCCAAGCCCTCGTGGCACTATGTCTGGAAGGACTTGTGTCATGTTGTTCTTGCGTTGCTGCCCTCCGCAGTCTTCAGAGTGCCCTCAAGTGACTCAAGTGACTCAAGCGACTCAAGTGCCAGACCAAGCCCAGAAGTCGGTGAACCCAAGCCGGAGAGGCCGAAGTCCTTCGGCAGCCTGAGTTGGCTTTGCATACACCATACAGCTTTTTACACCAATCCAAGAATATGTGCGTGGAGGCCACGAAGGGCCCGCCGCTGTGGGGGCCTCTGTCGTCCATGGGTGCGGCTGGCTCATGACAAGTTACAGCTCGCGCTTGTTGATGGTTGCCCCTTGGCGGCTGGTGCCTTGTACTGCAGGGACGGAAGATCTGCGAACAGCTCGTCGGTCTGCCTCGGAAGCTCCGCAGTTCTAACTGGCAGCCTCTATACTCCAGATCTCCCAACAAAACCACCTAGACTCAGCGGACTTGTGGTGGCCATGTAATTACACCTGCCTGAGATGCTTGCGTTCAAAACTGGAACCAAGGAAGACCTGCACAGAACTAACTTGTCCCAGCGGCCCCAACGATCCGCAGATTGCCTCTCCATGACACGCTGGATGGTCCACCGGAAACGTGCATTGACAGCCCTCACCCCCCCCCCCCGCAAGGAAAAAGCCGCAAAAAAGAACAGGCAAAAAGAAACGAAGAGGCAAAACATGATGGAGGGGGGGGGGGGAAACGACCATGCACGGGCCTTGAAGCCCAAATCCAACTCCAGGTGTTCGACCCTGGCTTGCAGCAAGTGATGCTTGGACTCCAGGAGCTGCCCGGCCAGGACCTGCATCCTGCAGCAGACTCTTCGCAAAAAACACGCATTTTTACGGCGGCGGGCGCACGCTCTTCAGGCTCCGTGATCCCACTTCAAACGGGCGGGATCACAAAGAGCTTTCGGGTTGAACTTCGCTTTCAGCCAATTGTACCAATGGTTTTGTTCCAGGAGCGCAGCTCTGCAATGGAACAATTTGGAGCTTCTTGTGTGCCGGAACCTCTTCTATTCATCACCACTTCGTCCCGTCACGTTCATGAGTTTCATACTAGGGCATATGCGAAGCCGATGACTGCACAAGCAGCAACAGCTTCACAACCTCCCTCACACATGGCCAGAAGAAGCACAGTCTCTCTGACAGACGAATTCTGCCAACTACCCCCGATTTCTTCGAGACAGTGCATGTTGCAGTGATAAGACTTCACGAGTGGTACTGAAAATTAAGGCCAAGTCGCTGCAGCTCAGACTTTGTATTCGTCAAGGCCTGCTGGTAATGTCGGATTTCGGCTTGGAGGTGCGCATTTTGCCACCTCAACCATTCTCACCCCAGAGAGCAGGGGAAGTGGACCTCTTCTTCTTCTGCTTCTTCTCCTCGCTTGAAGTGGACCTCTCTCTCTCTCTCTCTGTTTTGCCAAGGGGCTGCAGAAATAGCACTGATGCTTGCGAAGACTTCGATTGTTTCATCTCGGACGGCAGGTCCTCATCATGGCTGGTTTGTGGCACATCAGTGCCTTCTAACGTTCCTTGGATGATCATCGCGGCACATCACGAGCCGGGGGTCTGCTGTCGTGCTCCATATCGAAGCAGTAGGAGGCGCCACCTGGGGCCCTGCTTGAGACGCTTGAGCCTGCCACAAGGCCACGGAGCAAACGGATCTCACACAAGACCATTTCACCCTCATTTAGTACTCATTGTGACTCGACGATTGCTGGTGTTGGCCTGAAGCTGCCGTCTCAGTGATCCAGATTCGGCTCGGGCTTGTCGTATCTGTTCCTCTGCCATCAGAAGCCTGAGTTCAACTGGAACGTACACATTGCTCTTGCTACGAGCCGTCTTTCTGGACACAGACATGATACCAAGTCCAGATGTGCTGCTTTTGCTGCATCTGCTGCATACCGTATCTTGCCTGCAGCAGTTCCTGCTGCAAGATTGCCGAATTGTTCGTGATTGATGCAGATCAACCCAGGTCAGAGATACGTGGTTGGTGCCGCTTGAAATGGTACTTGCTTTAAAAACAGCGGCTGCCCACGATAAGCCCATCAAAAACCAAGCTAAACCCAAGAAAGCCTCCAAAAAACCTAACAAAACCCAAAAAATCCTTAGCTCTCCCTGGATGGGGGTGTGGACAGACTCAGACTGTTCATGGAAGTTGTAGGCTGCAGCATTGAAAATCGCAGGGCTGAGAACTTTCTCACCATGAGCTCGCAAAATGGCAACATAAGCAGTGCACCCATCCAACTTACAAGCATCTCAAACGGCCCTGTCGCAATTCCCATTCTTGACAACGTCCCACAACAACCCCAAGCTACGAAAATCCCTCCCAACAAATCCTACGAAACCCCCAACCAGTCTTACGAAACACCAAGAAATCCTACACATCTTCCAGCAAATGCTGGAAACATCCCAACATGTTCCACTTTCCGACCAGGATGCAGAAAACTCCAACCATTCCTACGAAAATCCCAGCAACTCCCAAAATGACCCAACATTCCCCATCCAATCCTGCGACAATCCCAACCTATCTCTTGACAGAACAAGACATCATAACTTGATATCCTGGACGTGCAAATCAACATCCCGATCCGAGCTGAAAATCGTATAGCGGAACAAGTTTTGGAAAATTCAGGTTTTCTGTTTCAGAGCCTGAGATAAGTACGGTTGAAGAAGCATGTTTAAAGCATCATGCACCTGGAAAACACAGGTCTGCTACATCTTTGCGAATACAAGTTGGGCTGACTCACTGACTGCCGTTGACACTTCATGGTTTCCTGTGCTCTGCCTCTCCCACGCAGCCATTTTTGAACGTCGCACAGGACTGCCTTGCCTTTTCTCCCTAGGCATCTCCTCTAACAATGCCAGAAGCGTGCTCAACCAAGATGCTAGTCTGTGCCCCTAGCGGCGCTAGCACTTTCCCAGGACCCCTTCTTCTGGACCCGTCCCTAGCGCCAGCCTTCAGACTGGTGGAATCAATCATTTAAGGGGCGCTTGAAGCCCGTAAACTAGTTGATTCTTATACCACTTAAGGCCCGTGGTCGCCTGTGACCCACCTGAAACCCTTCAGAGAAACAGGAATGAGAGTGAGAGCGAGAAAGAGAAAGAGACAAAGCAAGGAGAGAAAGAGAAAAGAGACAGAGAGAAAGAGAAAAGATAAACAGAGAAAGAGGAAAAGAGAGAGAAAGAGAAAAAGAGAAGTTGCTTGGCCCAGTCCTCTTGCACCATCTGTTGATTCAGCATCTGGTTTGTGCCATCCTTTGCTGTCACATGACTCATGTAATGCGCCGGTCAGGTGGACGAAGGTCATCAATCACCCAACAGCTGTTGCATGAGGCGCAAGCGGTATGTGCTTTTGCGGTTTCCTTGGCCTGCTCGGCGCTCTTTCTGAGCGGGTTCGCTCCAGCTTCCTGTCGTCCGGGTGATGGTCAGCAGCACATGTTGTGTTTTTTTGCAATTATCGCAACAAAGAAGATTGTGCTGACAAGCCACTGTCACTTTGGCGACGTAGTAGAACCTCAGATAGACCGGAGCATTTAATTCTATCCTCCAAGGCTTCTGGCCGGACAGCATTGTGGCAATTTTGCGGCATCCTTCCAACACCCTTCTTTTCGTGCTTGCATGAGTGAGTTTCGCTAGAAAAAGGATAAGGCTGGGTGTTTCGTCACTTATGGTAGAGGATTGCACTGAATGTCGCTGGAACACCCTTGCCATCCCTTGCCCTACTTACCCTTGAATCCATGCGGCTTGCCGAGCCTAGCGTGCTCGTCACCGGCCAGCAGCCGCAAGCCACGCTTCTGCATTTCAGCCTCGCCGCTCCGGGCATTTTAACGACATGCGCAGCCGCTTGAAAACCTCATCCCACGTTGCACTACGCTGCACCCCTGCTTGCAAGGATGTGCTCTTGTCGTTGTGTGCTGTTAGGTGAATGAGGCGACATATGCAGTTGCTCTCGTTTGTCTATCCTGGATCCTGGCCTCCGCATCTGCGCTGAGCCTACATCTGGCAGCACGAGAGAGGATTATCCTGTCGTCGGCGGCCTCAGCCCGTATGGAGCCAATTCTGGACAGTTTCGGAAAGGGCTTTGTAGGGAAAAAAGGCTTTCATAGGCGGTTTTAGGACGAATTGTTTAGTTTAGAACCGGCTTCAGGATAAAATGTGAAACAAGATTTAAATTGTTTCTTGGCAGGCTCCAGCTTTCAGCAACCGAGTCTCCTCATCGGAGAACGCTTTGGCCTTGAAAGGGTGAACAATGTGATGGGGCCACAAGAGAACACAACTTTGAACAAACATGTGCTCTCCAGAAATCTCCAAATTCACCCATGATGGATGCAGTCTCGGCACTTGCTGAACAGCCGGGCTGAACAAGCAACTCGTCGGATATCGTCGACCCGATTTTTCCCTTCCTCGAAGCACAGCCGGAATCTTTGAGTCCTTGGCACAGGAACATGTTGCGACGCCTTTGACGTGCTTGTCCATTGCAGTGCAATCTGCAGGCAGGAACAACCAATCAAAATACGCAGTGCATCGTCAACATTGCTTGAAACATGGAAGAACAGCGGGTGTTGAGACAAGAGAGGTATCATTAGTGAGCCGTGCGGCATCGGGATCTGAACTCTTCAAGTCGTCTGTGCAATATCTTGGGCGGAACCCTAAAGCAACGTCTCTTGGGCATTCTTGTGAAGTGAAGCGTCTGTGTGGATGCCAATGCCAAGGTGGACTTGTGCCTGCCATCAAGGAAAGTCTGTCAGCCACTTCCTCCATAGGCTTCCACAAAAGCAGCACGATAAGTGTCCCTGGCAACCTTGCTGACCGTTTGCAACATCTGCTGAGCGAGAAGAAGCATCGAATCCTTAGTGCCGGCAATAGTACAAGTATGATATGAGCTATGACTCGATCCGGCCCCATCATCCACAGGGTCAGCTGTAACAAAAAGATAACTCATGCACTGATGGTTAATAGGCAGAACGCCAGGACACCGGCGGCCAGCAGCTACATCTACAACCCATCACGAGCCAGGCATCGGTATGATGCGTGCCATCATCCTTGCCAACAGCCACATAGCATCCTCATGCACGTCAGCAACTGGCTTCACCGAGCTCACTGTCTGTCTCTTCTTTCTATTTCTTTCTCCCTTTCCCTTTTTCTTTCGAGAGGGGGGGGGGGCGCGGGTTCACGGAATCCTGCAAACAGAAAACATGTGTTCATGCGACCGGAAAACCTGCGACCAACAGCCGCAAAAACTAGAAACCAGAAACCGCACATTCAGGCTACCAGACTCACGCATCCACACAACAGTTGGTAAAAACCTCCGTCCGGAACTCCCTCCCTCCCTGCCTCGCCTCCTTCACTCGTCTGCAAGGTTTGAGGACTAGCAACAGTCTCTCCCCGCCCCTCACGCAGGTGCGCCCACGTTCGTGGTCGGGTTCGGGCGACGCTACAGACAGTCAAGGTCTTGAGGGGCGCACGCACCCGCCGTGCACTAGGCGCGCCCGGATGCAGAGTCTGTGTGAAATTGCAAGCTGGAGACAGTCTACGGAGTGAAATAACTGAAAGCTGCGTACAGTACCCAGAGTGGTTCGATGCTTCTCCAAGAGCAAAACATGCACGTCTACGTCATGTTACTGTCGGGTGTAATTACGAGGGGTTGCCCCTACTGGATTCGCACCAGGTACATTCCGTCTGCATTGAATGCCTACTGGATTCGCACCAGGTACATTCAGTCTACATTGATTGAAAGGCGTCGGGTTGTTACGTTTCCCTCAAACTCAAGCAAGCAAACCCCCCACTTTAAAAGCACGAACCGCCTCGAACAAAGCGACGCTGGAAACGGAGTTACAGTGACCAGTCTAACCACACATGCAATGTTTCTCGCGGACTCTCTCGCTCTCTCCAAGGCTCTCTCTGGCTAAAGAATAGCATCGGAACACTAGATTCCATTGCAAATATACCCAGAGCTGCAATCTGGCAAGAAATCAGTGCAAACAATGCAAGGCAACTACGGCCATACAAATCAAACCGAGCGGCTGCCCACAATCTCCTGATGGTGCTGTCGGCAACAGCACATTTTGCGGCACAAGGGAGCTCAAGGTTACATCCGTGCAGGTTGGCTGTCACAGAACAGCAATTGTAAAATATACGTTGGGTGTCCGTAACACTTCCCCCTATGTCCCCAGCTCTTCCGCATTTGCCCTCCCTACTTTGTGACAGCAGATGGAAATGAAAGATGCTGAAGACAATTGAGGGCCCTTCAAAATGTGCCAAGCTTCCGTGCGCAGAGTCGCATGCCTCAGACGACTGAGATGCAAGTGCACTTGTGCGCTGGCCCAGCCACAACAGTGCTTCGCAAGCTCTCGAGCTGCCGCCCGGAAACTGCGTGCTGAGCTTCTCGAACGCTTCAAAGATGGAAATGAGATCATCCTCCGGCGCCTGTCCATGAATCCAAAACACTCCACAAAGTCCAACAAGATGTTCGCGAAGAGGGAGGCTCACGGCTGGAACTCAAAAGCAAGATGCATAGCGCCAATGGCAACGCTCGCCTCTGTGACCTCAGTTTGAAAGCAGCCGTCCGTCAAGTGCGCGTAACGGGTGCACTTTTAAATGCTCTGAGGGGGCAACATTCGCGAACAATGCTGTGCTGTCCACAGAGCCTGCCATGCTGCATCGGATTTCGGATGTCACAAGGTTGATGCGAGATCCCTCATAACTTCAAACAGAGCCAAGAAGCAACATGGATGCTGATACTTGCTCACAGCTGGCTCAGTACTGGTATCACTAGGTCAGGCTGTGGAGTCCATATGAAATGCGTGATTTGATAGGCGAAGGGCTAAGCACTCGTCTCAACACATCGGGATCCGAAGCTGGGATCTGACTTTTAAATGGTGAGCCCATGGGATGGCGGTTTAAACCTTCAGTGCTGCCAGAAACATCTGACAGTCACAAAACATGAAGCATGCAGCGCCCACGCCTTTGCGTTGTTCCTCTGCCGCTGGCTTTTCCTTGTCTGACTGCGACCGCGGTGTTTGCGGTGTCCCATCCTGAAACAGAATGAACACATGCAACGCAGTTGCACTCATTGATGTTCAATTCAAGCTCCTCTTCAAGGATTTGGCCGATGTTCTCCTGCCCGATCTCGAAGCACTGCGTGCACTTCCAAACACAGACACACACTTTCACGCTCAAGCGGTGCATGACAAGCTGCATTCACTCGTCATGGTCACCAAGCGCTGCCACAAAAGCACTGTCACAAGATTGACATGATTCCTCACACACTTCCCCCAACAATCCACGTTGCAAGGATGCGTGGGTATGCAGTTCGGCTATCTCGAGGCGTGAAAAACGTAACAGACCTAACACCTGTGAGGTCCTGTAAGATTTAGTCTTGCCAGCTGCGGGGCCTGGCTTTCTGCCAACTTGCCGGGTACAGGTACGAATGCTTGTGTCCCATCCCATCCAGCTCACGTCAGGAACTACGTTGGTACAACTGAAATAAAATAATCATTGCGCAAACAAAACCACAAATGTCGATGAGCTCAGCGTTTCGGCAACTTGGTTCGGCGCTCTTCAAGCGCATTTTGGGGCTCTTCAGGCACTAACCCCATGCAATGCTAGCGCACGCTCAGGCACAGACTGCACGACTTGCTATCGACTATGATAGACATGTACCGTCAAAACTGCGGCTGATGCACCTACCGGGTGGCCCCATTCCAGCTTGAGCTAGCTGGTTACATTCAAACATACACAGACAGATTCTTGTCAGTGATGGGTAGGATGCCATCATCGAGACTCCATCATGGTATCAGATACCAGATCAACGAGCTGATGGGCCTACGTGCAAGTAGGCAGAATTGCAGGATAATGAGTGCAGTGTAGGTTTAGGATAGTCTTCGTGACTAGACGTGGTGCTTGACCTCGGGTTTGTGACTGTTTTTGAGGTTTCTGGTACTGGAAAGGTGTCTGCTCGCCGGCAGAGCAGGAACATTTGGGAGACTGCGCCCTTTGCAATGCCCGCAGCGCATGTGCTTTCAGTGTAAGACAACACTTTTGAGAGCCCAACGAAAGAGTTTCTTCTTTTTTGGGATCGAGTCCTGCGACGGCTCGTGAGCGAAACTCCTCCTGAAACCTCGGGTTGATCACTTGGCATGGCAAAGGTGAGGTTGTGAGAAACAATGCAACATGCAATCAAGGAGCTCAGAAGGGCTCCCCGCATCTTCAAGTGCGACTGTCAGATCCGCACAGATGCAGGTAAGCAAGACAGAAAGTATTCATGCATGCGCAGTCCCGCCTTCACTCTAGCAATCAGTTCTTGCCGGCAAAATGGCTTGTGAATCCAGTCTGTGCAACCTAGTTCATATCCTGGGTTGATAGCGAAAGAGCTGTCGTCATGTGAGCAGCTCTGAAGCGACAGAACTCTTCATGCGACTTCTGGCATCATACATTCCGAGCTGCCCTTCACCACGGAGCTTGATTGGTTCTTGGCCTTGAAAGCATGGCACATAGAGCAAGCGGTGTAGCTCTGCTTGTCACTTTTGTCCTGCATTCTGTTTGCTTCGCTTGCCTGCCGTCTGCCCACAAGTCAAGGCATCGCCAGCCGTGTTTTGGGCTTGAGAAGTACTTGTGCGGTCAGGAAGGGAACTGCTTGAAGTCTGTCCGATTCTTCCTTCCCGGCAATTGTTGAAGGAGCACCTATTTGCCCGCCCACCTCGCTGACTCTTTCAAAGTGCCCCGAAGTGACCATTCTCACAATTCTCTCAGCTCTCACAACTCTCACATTTCTCACAATTCTCACATCTCAACATGTTTTTAACACTCGCAACATTACTAAACAGTGCTGCGTGTGCTGATCTGCAGTGAGAGCGGGTCCCGTCTTGTTGCACTGGCCAGGCAACGACCTGCAAACCTCCCCTGCCACACGTACCAGTATCGACAAGATACCCTAACAGAATCAGGTCGTTCCTAGCTGGATTCTTGAAACTCATTCCCACCCTTCTTGCCAGAACTACACAGAGAATCAGCAGCAAAGTGTGAGCTAAGCTGTCGGCAGACACCATGATGACAGGAAGTTCGCCGAGCTGAAACTTGCTCTGCAGAGCTTGCAGAACGTCAAAGCCACTCAACCCCGGCATCATCAAGTCCTGCGAGACGTTGTCCCATTACAGTCACTAGTCACTAGTGTCCCGCTAGAGTCGCTAGAGACCTGATGGCAAGTCTCAACACAGGACTCTGTCTATCTCGGCATGGCTTTAGGCTTCATTTGCAACGAGCCGCCAGTAAGAGCAACTGAGGACGTGGATTGTCGGCATCCAAATATTCCAGACATTCCGTCCCACTCATGCAGGTAATCACCCTTAGATGTCACAAAGCCATTGTTTCACTCAAAGCGGGCATCGGTTCTCCGTTTCGCCAAGCCCTCAGCCAAGCAGCTGGAATCCGCTAGGTTCCAGTATGGATCGCATTACCTCCTGGTTGACGAAGTCATCATCGACGGACATGATAAGGTTTTGACCCTCAGCATCCTGAAATCTCACTCATCTCACCGGTGCAGGAGGCAAACAGTCGGCAAACACAAGAGTCCTCAAAGTTGTAGGCTGACATTCCCTCCTGAAACGACAATGTGACAAATGCGATTAGCTCGAAAACTGGCCGAAAGAGCTGCGCCTTCAGAGCTGGAAGTGATGAGGCAGTTGCACTGCCTGCGCCGATTGACAACGCTGTCAAGGATTCAATGTGTGAGAACTTCTCTATCACCCTGGAGGTATGATCCTAAGACTCTAAGACTACACTCTTGTCTTGGTGACTTGGTGGGTATTTTCAAGGCCTGTTGTGCAGATTACGGGGCGCAGGTTGGATCTTCTCGTCTTTTCACTGCAAGACCGGCATCTAGAAACGACTTCATGCAGGTGTCAGTGTCAAGCACTCTGCATGGTTGCGAAGTTCTGTGCTTGCTCAAACCTCCTGCGGGATTAGAAGCTTCCACACTGCTTCCGATACTGGGTAAAATGCCTCCCTCCATTGGTGGAGATGGTCTGGCATTGATTTGAATACCTCACCGGCTTCCAGCGTAGCTGCAGACACGCCATAGACTCCCATGAAAGTAGCAAAAACAACCGAGAGAGCAAACTGGCGTTGGTACGCGGTGACTCTGCATGGCTCCATGAGACTTCAATGCTGCAGCATCAAAGTTGTGTCATTGTGGACAGACAAAGTGAGAGAATCTAAGTCCCGGGTGCCAATCTGCGTGCTCGGGCCAAGCCAAGACGACGGAGGTCCACGAGGCTTTGTACCTGGCAGTGGCACCTGGCACATGCAATGCACACGCAACGTTGGCACGTGCAGTTGCATTTCCTGACTTTCGTGGCTCGTGCCTTCTTGCTTTCCTGCTTGTCCTCGCATCATGGACCGCATCACCGACAAGGCATGCAGGCGTTCTTTTGCATGCAGCCGCAGCGACCTCCTCCTGTGTACTTGCTGCAGCGAATCCATTGCAGGATGGTGGCATGAAAGGTAAGGTGACCTCATTTCCCATGGAGTCTTCGTGCATGGTGCATCACGTCCAAGGATGCTTGGACCTAGTGGCAAGGCCTTCACAACCGCCCCTTTGCCGGTCGGAGGTTCAAACCTGATACCTCGGCTGCTGCAGGTTCGAAGAATCTGGCAAAATGAGAAGAGCCCAAGGGCTACAAGTAAGGCCATGACTCCCATGATGTATCCGTGCAACTTCTCGTACCATGGCAAGTCCCACACCAATTCCATCAAACTTTCCTGAACTCACGATCACGTGTTTATCCTACCTTGCATGCATCATTAGCTCCGATATGCACAGCTGGCGGACGAGGGGAGACTCCTCTCTTTTGAGTCTCCCATTTCGAACAGCTTAGTTTTGCATGCAAGTCCAACTTACTCCACGGATGCTCTCAGCGATGGTCTAGGACATCCATATCAGTTGCAAAGGCACGGTCTCCGCTCTCCAGCTTCATGCCAACACCTAGCAGACGCTTCTCTCATCTTCTCCCATGTGTGAATCGCACGCCACCGTGAAGTGCAGCAGTTGGATCAGAATTGTCGTATTGAGGAGACGACTTAAAAACAAGGAGGGCAAAGCAAGAGGGAAATACAACAAGCCTGTATCTGAAATGGTAATGACTGCGCACTGCTTCTCCTTGTCCTCCTCCACCGTGAAATTGACCTTGAACTACCGTAGATGGCTGATAGGTTTGGTAGGTTTGAAGGGAGCTGAGTGAGCTTCAGCCAAGATACCTCTCCGTCTGCTGTGAACTTGTATGCCTCAGAGTCAGACTGCTCCAGCTCTTTAAGGACTTGAAGCGGTTTTCTGGTTGCATCCAGGTCACGTTCAAAAGGATCTGGATCATCATCTGTGTGAGCGCATACCCATCGCCCGAGATGGTCACACTCGGCAGATTCGTCTTCAACTCAACCTGTAGATCGAAGAGGCTAGAGTGGATCCAGAGGCAGACCCCCGTGATAAACGCGCTTACTCTCACAAATTTACTGGGACCACCGAAGACGCTGAACGCACTGTTGGAGGACAGTTCCTCTGGGTTTCTGCTGAGGGTGGCTAAAAGTGCTGTGGGCTAAGATTTCAGTGGACATGGACTTGAGAGACTTGGCGAAATTTCCCAAAAGATGACCCACAGACTCTACGCTGAACATCTTGACACCGAATCGGAATCGGACCCTGTCAAGGGCCTTGTCCTTCTTCAGAGGCTTGCCGCGCTTGTCCTTGAAAGCTTCGCACTTGGTGATGCAGTCTTGGGCAAGCACCTTACACTTGGGACACGCAGAAAAGTCGAGCATGGTAATTATGCATGCGTTGTGCGCTCTGTACCTCCAGCAAGGCTTACAAGCTTTCGTGCCGGCTGCTCTCCGGCGTCTTTTTCCTCGACCCGCGGTCGCTTTCTGTGTCTGCGCCCGACCTCTTGCGCAGACTGAAAACTCCGAGGTACACGGATTGGACCGTAGGCCCTGCCAGGGTCCAACTAACATGACGTAACAAGCGTTGCGACTCGAACTGAGTGATTATGATTAAGTGCCATTCTAGCTTCTGTAGTAGTAGTCGTAGTAGTAGTAGTAGTAGTAGCAGTAGTAGTAGTAGTAGTAGTAGTAGTCGTCGTCGTCGTCGTCGTCGTCGTCGTCGTCGTCGTCGTCGTCGTCGTAGTCGTAGTCGTAGTCGTAGTCGTAGTCGTAGTAGTAGTAGTAGTAGTAGTAGTAGTAGTAGTAGTAGTAGTAGTAGTAGTAGTAGTAGTAGTAGTAGTAGTAGTAGTAGTAGTAGTAGTAGTAGTAGTATTATTATTATTATTGACACAGGGAACGTGACAGCAAGCGCCCAACTTCAGAGGAGCCCGCAGAGAATCCCGCCTGACCTCCGCTTGGAGGGAACTCCAACCTTTCCCTCCCGGCCCTGCAGGCTGCTTTGTACAACAGCATGCCTTCAACTCGAAGGGCATCAGCGAACTGCCCTATTCTTTTACAAAGTGAACCACAGGAATGGGCACACTATCGATAACGCAGGCCGAAGCACAGATAAATCCACCATCTCACCTTGCTTCTCTGCAGATCGAACTTCTGCGTCGCTGAAGTTCCTGAAGACAGGACAAGCTGCAGACAACCAAGTCCTCGAAATACCTCGACTTGCGTTGCCTTACATTGCCTTGTCATTGCTGCCGAGCATCCAAAAATCCATCAGGTTCGTTATCATATTCACTACTCTCTCCGCCTGAGCTGAACATCAGATGCTCAAGACAAGACAACGCTGCACCGCATTGCACGGCAACGCAAAGCTGGATGTCGGCCGCGCCGCGCTCAGGCTGATCATTCCAAGCCTCAGATGCGAAATCACAGTCCCCATCCCTTTCCCAGGTAAAGCATTGCAAAGTTGTAGGCACGCGGCGGTTTCTGCATGGGACCAGGCTCCTCCAAAGCTGCAAGGTGCAGGACAAGAGCTCAGTCAGAACATTCTGTGGGGCGCTCGGAACTTCAAAAGTGCTAACCCCTCTGTCCATGTGAAACGCCAACGAGGTATTTGCACATCGGCTGAAATAAAACCGCCCCCCAGCAGCGCCGAGACAAGAAAAAACAAAGTGCCGTCCTGCGAAATCGTGTTTGACAGGCCCAAGATGCCATGCAAAGGAGTACGAAGCTCATGAAGTATCCTTCCCTGGCAGCGCTTGGCTGTGAGGTCAAAGCACTTGCAAGAAAACACAGAAACTCTACAAGTAACATTGCAAGCACGATTAAGCCCCCTGAACGGGCTTGCAAAGGGCACAGGGATGGGGCAAGTCAGGGTCGCATCCTCGTGATTGCTGTCGTTTTGTACAGTGATGCCACTTCTCGTTTAACTCTGTGTGTGTGTGTGTGCTGTTTTCGTTTGTTGTTTTCCTTAGGAAACTGTGTTTTTTGCATGTCTTTCATTCTTTCCCTGGGCCTTCGCATTTCTATATTTAGGGTCAAGGGTTAGGGTTATTGTTTTGTTCGTGGCTCGGGGTTTGTAAACTTAGTCCACGGATTGCTTAAGGATCTTTGAGGTTTTAGGATAAGGGAACGGTGCCCCGTGGCTGTCCCAGCTGGTTGTCCAGCGTCTGCATCCTCTGCGCAAGATCCCCCCACCCTGTTCTCTCGGCACGGTCCGTCGCTTCATCGGCCGACGGCGTTCTGGGGCCGCCAACATTAAACGGCCGAGCTGGCACAGCATCTTCTTTATCTTCTTCATCCTCTTCATCTTCTTCTGTCCCCCCTACAGGCTGCCAGGGCATTCCCTCAAGGCTTAAGGTCTTTAACTTTAACTTAAAGATCAACGGGGATCGGGCCGGTACCGGTATAAGCCAACGTTTCGTTATTGGCAGTTTTCCCTGGTACGTCCGAGGTCTTTTAGGTCGTTTTCCCTGTCAAAGCCTAAAGCATTGGGATGCGGAGAGGCTAAGCTTTGAAACAAACCTGACCACTGAAGCACTCCCTCCCAAAAACAAACCGACGCCGGGCACATGAAGTCAAACGGAGATTGTTGGCAGCAGAGATTCGTCGCCACCTGTTCTTAGGCCCATGCCTTCATGCGGTGGTTGGTGACATCCGTCGATCGTGTAGCGCCTGGGAGATCACCAGACGGCAGGATCTGACCCACCGCCAGAGCCCCAATGACCTTGCGTCGTGTGGCACGCAGCGCAGAACATCTCCAACCCCGACCATGCAAGGGTCGTGTTGTCATTACAGTAATGCATGTCAACCTCAAGCCGCCATAGATCGGCAAGCAACCCCCCTTTCCCCCCCTCCCCCCCGCGTGCCTTCCCGGTGAAGCTAAACTGCGGAGAGAAGCCCACCAGCATTTCCATTGCGGGCGCCAGGGTTATCCTTGCGTCTCTGTGTGACACCGAATACGCCACATTAAGCCACAATAAACGAAACCATATACAGCTTTTGACCCTGCAGTGAAGGCTCCGCACGGCTTGGCCAAAGTCACCAGCAAGGGCAGCATTGGCAGCTGTTTCTGCTCGACTTTTCGATTCCGCTCCAAGAAGATCCAGAAGCTTAGTCCTTGGCGCTGCAAGTGAAATTCTCAGAATTTTCCCATTATGCTGTTCATTTGCCCCTTGAGCCCAAGTGGCCCAGCTACTTTCTCCTTCTCTTCGCCGCTTCGATCGGCCAGGAGGTGGTTCCATTCAGTAACGCACCTTACGTTCCGCAGGGCGGGTTCCGACCAGCTCAATGATAACTCGCGGAGCAACAGAGGACATGACCGCAAGAACAGCCCCACAACATACATCAATACACCATACCCAGAAACGTACATCAAAGACGAACAGCATGTACAACAAAGGTGCCGCCAAAAAAAAAAAACTATGCGGTCTCCACAAGCATCCCAAACGCGAGGCGAAGTATTTGCTGCTTCTTAGAACTAGTGCTGCACATACTGCAGCCAGTTCTTGCTTTCTTCTCGGACCCTCGGGGAGTGGCAAAGGCTTGCTGAAAGTCGATGGCCCTTTGACTCCCCAGGAAATCCCAGGAACCCTGTCAGCAGCATCCGAACTGCATGTTTCGCTTGGGCCTTTGTTGTGGGTCCACCATGGCACTATACGAAGCTGCCCTACCCTGAAAGCCCCAAACAATAATTCCCCAAAGCTCCGATAAAGCCCGAAAAGCCCCCACATGCCCCCACAAAAACCGAAACCTCAAGCGTTCGAAAATAGGCCTACTGGGTCTACCGATAAGCCTCCAAAGCCTAAACCCCATGCCCAAAAGCTCAAAACCCTGAATCCCTAATCGCATTTCTCAGACCCGAGTTCAGACCTAAGTGAAGCGGAAATCAGTTCAGATGTCTGAACTGCAGGCTCAAGTGAAGCGTGATTTCTAGGCCTAAGTGAAGCGGCGGTTGCCGTATTTTGCACCACTGCCTAAAGTTTGGGCCTAAAGGGCCGGAAGACAAGTAGCAGATTGGAGTCGATGGAAAAGATGGCCGCATTAGCTCGATCCAGTTGTTCGGCGGCCGCGGTCTTGGAGAAGATGAATAGGTTGCCAACCGACACACATGCAGCCCACAATGCATCCACCCCACACACATGCAGATTCCTGTTTCTTGTGAGTCAAGAAGGTGCAACTTGAGCAACAACATCCAAAAGTGCCGAGTGGCTCGAATCCAGTCTGCCTGACATTGATGCCGAATGCAAGCCTAATCGCATGTGAGACTGCCACCTTGCCACCTTGCCTCTCCCAATCTCCGATCAACTTCTGCTGCGTCTTCGAAGCTTCCGACGGCGCCAACAATGCTGCCAGTCGCTGAACGCCATGGAACCACACTTAACCAAGCATCCTGAACACAGGTAGTGAGTACAATGGCGACTCAGAAACTCCTTCAGCATGATGCGTAGCAAAGTAGTACCCACATGCACGCATGAACGGTTCAGGCTTCCTTCGTCTTCCCACCTGCGTCGAGAGGTACGGTCATTCCACATCATTTGCATGCCCACTCAGACATGCTAGTAACTAGATGCCACTAGTCGTCACTGAGGATTAGTCTGACGATGTCTGACGTCCATAGCCAAGTCCTCAGGCAGGCGCTGGCATGCTCAATGCTGACGTTGAAACGCGGGATGTCGAGGCCACCTGCAGCAAAGCCAGCTTGCGAGACAGTCACCCTCTGTGTTGAAAGGCGCGCTGAGCTCTGTGACAAGAAGCTTCGTTTTTGCAAAGCGACGGAGGGCTTGGTCCAGCCCTTTCTTCATGCTGCGCTGGAAGCTCGCCTGGGAGGCTGTTGGCTGGTAAATGGTCCCCTCTCTGGCCCTCTCTGTTGTTCTCTGAGCCCTTGTCACAATTGAGCCAAGCGGCGGAAACGCAGAATGTCGCTTCTTTTCCTTTGGCCTGCAGTCTTGGCCCCATCACACACGAGCACAGAGCGGAAATATGTGAAGACACTATGAGCGCATTTCCCAAAATAGGGGTACCCCTTTTATGCCCCAAACAGAATGGAGTCAGCTTACAGGGATCCCCAAAAAGGGCATCCTTATTTTCGGAAACCCCCATGAATGCATGACCGCGAACCTGGCCCACGATGTATCCACTCAATTTCCTCGTCTCGCAGGCGCTGCATATTGTGATTTTTACCAAGTCTTACGATCTGAGAGGGGGGCCAAAACCCTCAAGTTGCCTAAACAGCCAGCAGCATGGGTCTCACCTTCCTAGTTGCTGCCCAATGCCGTACTGCAAGCTGGTCCGTGTACTGTTCGGGCAACCGTATCACTGTATCTGCTTGCAAAATCTCGACCTCAATGACTTCGAACGGACACTTGCTGCCCACTTGGCTTACTTCACGAGTCACGGCTACAGAAGACATCAGTACACCATGTCATTCAGCGACGACAGGTGCTCGTCAGCCCTCAGCTTGGAGCTGCATTAGAAGAGTGCGGAGTTTCCTGTGTATTACTTGTGTATTCCAGTGACTCCAGTGACTATCGAGGGACACTTTGCACAAGTACCTTGCGGCGGAATCGTGGTGGGCATCAAGCTGGCTCTGGCGCCTCTCCACAGGTGTACTCGGCGGGTGGTGAGTATCGCAGGAAGGGCGGGAAGGGGGTGAGGCGAGCACAGGGTGGGAAGGGTGGGAAGGGGGGTGGGGCGAATCAGCCAAGCATGACTCCGCAAACATGAGGACAAATCAGAAAACAAGAAAGGGCAAATCAGAAACCAGCAGGGCGCGAATCAGCAAACCCACCCCAACCTAATCGTTGGGGGAACCTAACCTAACCTAACCTACATGTACCCCAACCGAACCGTAACATGCCCCAACCTAGCCTAACCTGACCTAACCTAACCTAAGGTAAGATGATAGGGTTTAAGAGTGTGCTTTCGAAGTCAAAATCACGAACAACGCGCAAGGCATCTGCGCATTCTGCTACTGCAGGTCCGAAAGAAACCCGAAACCCTAAAACTCTAAAATCCCAAGCCCTAAGCCGCTAAAAATCCCTGAACCCTAAACCCTAAAGAAACCCTAAGCCTAAGCCCTAAAAAACCCAAATCCCAAAAAAAAACGAAACCCGAAACCCAGCCCTAAACCCCAAAAAACCTAACCCCTATAAACCCCTGAAACCCTTAAAAAGCCCTAATCCCTACAAACCCTAAACCCTCAAAACCCCTGAACCCTAAACCCGAAAAACCTGGACCTAAACCCTAAACCCTAAACCCTAAACCCTAAACCCTAAACCCTAAACCCTAAACCCCTTCTAAACCCCTAAACCCCTTCTAAACCCCTAAACCCCTAACCCCTATGCGGAGCTGCAATTGGTATTGTAGAAAGGAGTTAGTGTTGGAAGTTGGAAGGGTTAATGAACCCGGTAATCGTATTTGGCTCAAGATGGGCTTGAACAGAAAGCCACAAGTTCAAAAAGTAGTGCCTGGGTTCTTAGGGTTTGGTAAGGGTGTGGATTCCTTCCCCCTTTCCTTCCCCCCTGGGTTGCTCTTATCCGTGTTCTTGGTTGTTTCTTGGTTCGATCTGGGAAATATAAGTTCAGGGCGATTA